CTTCCGTCATCCCCTCAGCATACATCATGAGACGTAATGACGCACTATTGATATTTCTCTTTTACAGATGAGATTGAGGTTTCTACATTCAGGTAACTTGCTGAGGATAATTCAGGTGATGTGATAAAGGCTGGGGTTCACCCAGCCCAGGGCTGACTGTTCTCAGAGCTCATGCTCAGAACCTATAATGCATTGTCACCTCCCTGGGCCCCGTATAGTTAAGATTCACAGACTCCTTCACATACAGAAATGACAGTGGAAAGAAAAAAAAGCGTGCACTAGTTCTGTTGCCTCACTTTTAGAAGGCGAAGTTAGCATCTTTAGTGTAGGAGAACTTGTAGAGAGAAAAGGTGAACTGGATAAAGAATTTAGAGATGAGTATATGAGTCTCCCTAGATATTGCCCTCCTGAAGCACTTTGATATACGGAAGTAAAATGGATTTTGAGGCTCTCTTATTCAAAACTTTCATCAAGAATATTTCTGTACTGTTTCCAGCGGAGGTAAGGGTCTAGAGTGGGATCTGTGAGCTCAGCCAACCAGTGTGATGTACATCCTCACAAGGGAGAGGCAAAGGGCTGATGAGAAGAGAAGCCAGTAGCTGCAGATGGAAATAAGAAAGTCCCCTAGAGCAGTTTAACAGTTACAGGCCTGCCTCAGAGTCATCTTAACATTGCCAAAGTCTGCTTTCACGGATAATGATTCATTCTGAATAACCACAAGGGAAGAAGCCACACAGATGCAGTGACCTTGCCTTGGTCTATATAACCTGGGTCCAAGCCCAAGGCCAGTGACCCCTCATAGCCCTGACCTCTCTCTCCTTCCTCCACACTTTGGGAATCATCTTGCATCAGAGCTTATAGCTGGGGACTGGGGGCCGGCTAGCTTGATGCTGGGACTTAAGGACTAACTCCACTGTAGAAAGAATAGAGAGCACCAACCTTCCCAGCCACACATCATGTTTTCTTTCACCCAAATGCTGGGTAATCCTTTCAAAGACCTGAATCTGCCTTTTGTAGATTATACTTTAAATCTTAGAGATTTAAATCTCCCAGTTAATTTCTTGTGCTCTTTGTTCTCTCATCCTGCTTTGAGAGCATATCACCTTGGGGTGGGCAGTGGTCTAGATGTAGCCCACTGCCACCTCCTCTGTCCTAACTGTGCTGCTAACTATAGCTATGGCTATGGCAAGCAGGCAGTCGAGAAGAAAAGGAGTGATAATTTAGCTCTGCGGTACAGTGGAAAGAAATTGGGTTTAAGGCTCAAAAGCTAATTCTGCCACCTATAATGACCTTAGCCAAGGCCTTTCACTCACACAGCCCAGTCCTTCTCTGCAAATGGGCCAAAGTCCGCGGAGCTGTCGTGACTGCATCACACCGTGTCTGTCCCAGTGCCTTGGGGCCGCAGTGCTCAGCCCACGCTGTCCCTTCCTCCCCCCCAGCTCCTGTGACCTATGAGGAACCAGGAGCCCCAGCAAATCTCTAGGGGACCCTCAGACCAATCACTGATGAGCAAACGCCTCCGTTCCCTCTAGAAGGACAGGGCAGCTCTATCATGCTTTCTGCTCTAGAAGTCCGCTCTCTGCGTACACACACAACTTTGTACAGCACAAGGGCGTCCACCCTGAAATAGAAGGCTTGTCACTTTGCCCGGAGGTGAGGCGGGAAAACTTGGCCATGCGCAGGAGGTGTGTGGTGTGCTGCGAAGAGGCGGGCACTCTTTACAAAGTCTCTGCTTCTGTTCACCTTTCACAGGCTCATCTCTGATGCTCTCTCCTCAAACTTCACGTCATAAGTAAAAACACTTTAAAGTTGCTCTCCTTGCTAGGACATTTGGGAGGGGAAGGATCTCTTATGCCAACCACCTTTGTGTCTGCCTCACCGTTTCTGTACACGGCGGCGCTGTTACATGACAAGGCATCTCCTGGCGTGCTGTGCCCGTGTGGCTCCCTCCGACGGGTGGGTCTTCGTCACGGGCCAGCCCTCCTCCCCTCCACCGTGGCCCCGCTGATGGGCTTGGTTCCTTGCCCCTTCTGCTGGAGGACAGACTGGGGAGGGACTGGGCCACAGAACCCCAAGGACAAGGGCTAGCAAAGCAATTGGCTTCCATTAGAGGCTGATGTTTGCACTTAAAAAGACATTTCTCCTTTCCCTTTTTTCACATCTTTTAAGCCAAGGCCTAAAAGCCCTCAGTCACTGCTTGCCATCTCCCGACGCAGGTCCGTCTTGAAATCGAGATTTTCCTTTAGCACTTGGGCTCTGAATAAGCAAATCTGTCTGTCTGGGCTCCTGGTTCCATTTGGTTAGCAGGATATTCTGTCAAGATTGGAGTTCAGTCCAGGAGAGAGTCCTGGATTTCAGCTGGATGGTGGGGGAGGGTGTTTTCTTGTGCCGCCTTCTGAGTCACTCAGTAAATGGCCCACGCGGTGACTCCTTGCGGAGGGAGCCCAAGCCTGACATATGTGAGATGGGACTCCAAGCTCCCTTTGAAGCGGGCACAGTAATTGCAGCTTTGATTGCACTGACTCTGCTGGTGGGTTGGGCTGCACTGGGGCTTGCCTGGCCAGCCCAGCCTTAGCCACAGCCCCCCCAGTGAAGCCTTAGATGTGGAAGTCTCTAGTCTCCCAAGCCTCATGCCTGTGGTTTCTTGAAAAGAATCTCGATTTGACCTGTTTTATATCTGTATAGCAACACTGGAAGGCCCCCATTTTTCCCATTTGGGGGTAAAATCGGTCTCCCCTGACAACCTTATATTTTAAAGGACCAATCAGGTTCAAATAAGGTGCCCATTTGATAGTTTCTTTACCACTTTATTTAAACACTAGTTACACTATTAGGAGAACATTCAAGGTGGGGAAGAATCACTTTTTGGTTGGCAGCTGTACACAGCACCTCTGAAACCAACTTTCCAGGAGGATCCTGTAAGAGGATACTGTGGTAATCAAATAATGGTGGGAATGTGTAAGACTACAGAAAGAACTGACTTTATTAGGAGATGTCGAAATTCTTTCCAGGGATGCGACCTTGTGATAAATGGTCATTCTGGCCAGCCAGGACTGGTAGTGGAGCGGGCAGAAGGCATTGGGAGTGCTGTGAGGTGGGAAGAGCTCCACTCGATGAGCGGGAAGTGCCAGAGAGCCAGGGCGCCACAGAGCCTGCAGGCTGTCACCCCGCGACTTGAGGTCAGCCTGAGGCCGGGCTGGGGACAGGTTCCAGCAGCGCTGGCGCTCGTGGCTGCTGAGGCCAGTCCGTTCTGAACAGGGCTGGTCTCCAGCTGCTGTGCACTCCTCACCAGCGGGAGCAGCCTGGCCCTGGCCCCGCGCGCCAGGGGCGCCAGCGCCTTGTGACTGGGAGTCTGTGGGCAGCGCCTTCACCCTCGCCCAGGCTCTGCCCCATCCCCGTGGAAAGCCAGGCCCTCTGCAGCGCTGGCGTCCTCCTGTGTGAAGCATCTGCTTAAACTTGTAAAAACCACAGAGCTGCAGCATGGTTTTCCTGTTAAATGGGTGAAGGGTAAACTTGTAGGAGAGGAATTGAAATCGTCACTGAAGAGCTCGTGGTGTTGAAGGCAGCGTTCTGTGGCTGGCTTCCTCCTGTTGTGCTTTCACTTGTGTGTTCACCAGCCACCCAGATAAACAGTTCTTCACAGTGGTGATGATGAGTCATGGTAGGGACAGCACTGGTGGTTGCCGTAATAACGCTAACAGGTAGCTGGTAAAAGCCCCAAACGCAGGGACTCACTGTGCACTCTGCGCATCCCTCCAAGGCACTGGCTGCGCCATCCTCACTGCAGCCACGGCACCGCCCCTCCCAGCTCCCAGAAGAGCGGGCTGCGGACGGCTCTTCTCTGAACAGCACTGTCTGGATTGGAAGTCACCATCCTGAGTTTAGTTTCTCATTATTAAATTATTTCAAAGTTTCCTTTTACTTCTCCAAGGTTTCTTTCTACTCAAAAAGCATAAAGGAATGCACTCAACTATTTAGAATTAATTTTTTCCTAAAGGAAATGTTTGCTAATAAAAGACATTGCAGCACAGACAGTTGAGATTCGTCTGAGCTGCCGGGGGACCAGGTGGGGGAGGTGACTTCCCTGCGGCTGGACGAGGCCGTCGCCCCAGTTGCAAAGCAGGGGCATCGGATGCTTTCCACAGAGGAGCTGAACTTGGGGGTGCTTTTGCTTTCCCTTTGTCTCTGATTCTGTTGCCGTGTTTTATTTGTAATCACTCTAGGTCTCAGATTGTTAAAACTTTGGGGATTTAGGGATTATCCTTTCTGAATGCTCTTGTCATTGGCAACATCTTTAAATACTTGTTGAGTGTACATCCCAAACGTAATATTAGAGATCCCAGTTGTTAGAAAGGGGAAAAAAAAAAAACACTGAGAATTGAAGCCTGAATATTGGAGAAGCTTACGCACCTCAGACCGAATATGAGCGGACGGAAGACGTCCCGGCCGCATAGCTGCTTGTTGTGGGGATGTGGGGCCCTCACTCACTTGAGTGTGCTTAGTCTCCTGTCAGGGCTGCAGAGAGTGGGACGCCACTGAAGCGACTCAGCATGTACGAAAGCATACAGAGTCCTACAGTGGCTCCCCACAGTGGACTAAAAAGACCAAACAGTTCAGAATGATAGATCCTTCTGGGATCTGGCCATTGTCTGCCATTACAGTTCATGTTTGGCCATTCTCTTCTGATGTTTTTCAGATTTATTTTTAAAAACCATGATCCAAAGTATTATGTGTATTTCACATCATAACTCTGTACACATATATATACATATATACGGAACCAAGGTAAACACTTCAGTAAAGTACACTTACTCTCTAATGTAATCTAAGGATTTAGGGCTACCTTAGGGCAATCTGTCTTAGCTATCACCAGATCAACAAAGAGGATTAATTAAATGCAGAGCTCTTAAGACGTGATGTGCTGTATGTAGCTGAGGTTCAAAATCTGTAAAGGTTTGTGGCAAATGCTTATAACAGCATTTTATTTGTTCCTTCTCGAGGTGGAAAACGAAGCTCATTCCCAACGTGCAAAGCCAAGGCAGCGACCCCGGGACCTCTCCTGGAGATGGAAGCTTGTTGAAAACCCAGACTGTCTCCACGGCTTGCCCAGTCGACTCCAAAGGAGAAATAACACAAACTTCACCCTGAGGTCACTGCTAGAGACGCTGATCCATAAAGACAATCACTGCCAACCCCCTTTCATCTACTGCAAGAGCCAAGTTCCACAAGAAAGCATACAAGGTTTTTTCAAAAGAAAAATTAAAAAGCACATGAGAATGCTGGCAGGCCCTGGGCCAGCTGAGCCGCTTTCCTCCCGTCTCCGCCGTGCACTTCCCAGAGCACCCTGCATCTATATCTGCAACCTTCTGGCAAGGACAGTAACTGGGCTGCTTTCGCCTGCCCCAGGCACCTGAGCACTGGGCGCGGCTGCAGCACAGCCGTCAGCGTCCCCGCAGGGATGTGGGGACGAGTTCCCTCTGTTTCTGGCTTCATGTTTCCTTTTCTTCTCAAGCTTTTATTTAACAGTGCAAAAGGATCTATCTTGTTTGCTTCTTTTTTTAAACTTGAATTTTTTTTAATTTACACTTCTTTTATTTTTCTTGTATATTTTGCTAGCTATGAGCTTTTTAAGTAAAATTCAAAGATCTTGAACTGTTTGAAATAAAAACGAAATGAAAAGAAGCCTCCTCCTTCTGAGAGAGATCTCATCTGCTAAGTGGCTTCTCCGTGAATTACCTGTAACAATAGTGGCCTCTCTGTCTTTGTAAGGTGTCTGATAGAACTAAATAAACATAACAGCCAATCCACTCTGTGGGTAGCAGTTGGCAGTCCTCTTTATTTTTCTTATGATCTTTTTTTAAATGGTAAACTTTACCAGATACTTTCAGCAGACCAGTTTGCAGTGAATTTTCATTTTTTTCCTTCTCAACCCTTGTTGTAAAAAAGCCCAGCACTTGAATTGTTATTACTTTAAATGTTCTGTATTTGTATCTGTTTTTATTAGCCAATTAGTGGGATTTTATGCCAGTTGTTAAAATGAGCATTGATGTACCCATTTTTTTTTTTTAAATAGCAAGGCACAGCCTTTGCCCCAAACTGTCAATCTAATGTTTGTCATTCCAGTTTGAGTTAACGTGCTGAGCATTTTTTAAAAGAAGCTTTGTAATAAAACATTTAAAAAGTTTTTTTTAAAGAGTGAAATTCCTGATAATCTACAGTTGGTAATGGTGACCTGAACCCACAGGCCAGGCCAGAGCTGGTTGGAACTTGTGACAGAAGGCCTGCTGGCGCAGCCTCCGTGAGGCCAGGCCCACGGCCGCCCCATCCGCAGGCCCTGAGTCCTTAGAGGCCCTTGTGTGCGCGGTGTGGTCCACTGCCGCAGCCTCTCCCAGGGTCGGTGTAAAGGTCAGGGCCACGGGACTCAGGTGGGAGTGATTCTCTTCCTTCCCGAGCCCACGGACACCCTGACGGGCTCTGCCGTCAGCTCTCAGCACCTCCGCAAGTCTGCCCGTGCCGCCCAGTCAGACCCACTGCTTCTCAAACTGGTCTCCCCCAGTCAAAGCATCCCTGAAACTCCCACTTATCTCCCCAAGTCGACAGTTTCCCAACTTTGAGTCCATAATTCTCCCTCCCTTAAAAGTTTCTGTTATACTACTATATAGCCTGGTATCAGATTTAGCAAATCCTACATACTTTAAGTTTAAAACATCAATATTTCATGATCTTCCACAAAGGTTCCACAATCCATTGAGCCAGTTTGAGAACCACTGACACCACTGGTCTAACTTCAATCTCTTGCTGAAATTCTAGTTCTGTTTCCTTTTTTCAACCTTCAATACAGCTGGATAACAGCTGGCTACCATACTTGTAATAACCCTCCACATACTGTACTTGAAGATTGCCATTAAATCACCCCTCAAATTTCTCTTCTCCAGGCTAAGTAATCCCAATTCCTTGAACCTTTCATCATTGGTCCTTTAATCATTTTCATTACTATCCTCTGGAACCTCTCCAATTCCTTCTCATTTAGCCCTAAACTTGAACCAGGGGAAAATATCTATTATGTTCAGGGGACCTACTTGTTAAAGGTTTCATAGTCATTTGAAATTCTGTTTTCTTAACATACATGAACCAAGTGGTTGTAACTGTTTAAAGCTGCCACTGTGTTCTCTCCAGAGTTAACTAGAAAATGCTGTAGGAAGTGACACTGTACTTTGGAGGGAAAAAACAGTAGAAGCAACACATTGTCTCTTCTTGAGTTTTAGAAAGAAACTGATTAGTAGTAAGAAGTCTGTCCACCAAGCAAATAGAGCAAGGATACAAAGTGAGACTCAAGCCTCAGCCAAAGCCCACTCACGTCTCCTCTCCCGGGTTCCTCCTCTGCATTTAAAAAATGAATAAATGATACTGAAGAATGGCTTGTTTCAATCTCCTGAGCCAGTTGTTTCTTCCACAACTTGGTCCCTCCTAGTTCCCTGTATTTCCTTCAGAATAACTCTTCCCAGGTAACTTGGATGTCCTGGCAGTGCCCATCCTGGGCCATCCTACCCAAATCCTGCTTCTGCGGACAGGAGAGTCCAGAGTGCCCAAGAGGCACACACACAACGGGGACGCTCTCCTGGGGCATCTGGGCAGAGGGACTCCTGGCCCCTGCTTCTCTTCAGTCTTGCAGTGATTCTGCCTCCTTCCCCACCGTGAGCTCGGAGCTGGGCCAAGAGGACAGGCCAGCCTTCCTGCTGGGGCTCAGCTTTTCTCAAGGTTACGGCTGGCCCTCACAGAGGGATGCTTTCCTCCTGGCTTTAGTTTGTTTGCTTGTAGGGTTGCTAGCAACTACCTGTTTAGCTGGAAGAAATCTTAAACAGTTTCACTGTCCTAAATGTCACTTTTTCCCTCTATACTTTGGTCTAAGTTTCCAACAATATGGAAATCTCTGATCAGAGGCCCATGAGCAATAACGAGATGTCTGCATAGGTTTCCTTTTAAAGGAGAGAAGTCACGAGGGAGAGAAGAGAAATTCCACGTGACATAGTAGTTGTACAAATGACTACATCTGCCACAGGATGTTATTGTTCATGCATAGAAACTTTAAGAGCTGCCCTGTGAAACCTAGGGATACATACAGATACATGCACACAAGATTTGAACTACTTTTTAATAGAAATTGAATAGACTAACAAAGGGCCATCTAGTCAAAGCTATGGTTTTTGCAGTAGTCATTTTATGGATCTGAGAGTTGGACTATAAAGAAAGCTCGATGGAGAAGGAAATGGCAATCCACTCCAGTGTTCTTGCCTGGAGAATCCCATGGACAGAGGAGCCTGGCGGGCTGCAGTGCATGGGGTCGCAAAGAGGCAGACATGACTGATAGACTAACACTTTCACTTTACTTTTTCAATACTATTAAGTGTACCCACATACCCACATCCAGCATTTTTTCATCTTGCAGAACTGAAACAACAACTTCCCATTTCCCCTCCCTGCAGTCCTTGACAATCACCATTCTATTTTTCGCTTCTGTGAATTTGGCTCCTGTGGTTACTTCATATAAGTGGAATCCCACGGTAAAAAAAAAAAAAAAAAGAAAGCTCGAGTGCCGGACTGATGCTTTTGAACAGTGGTGTTTCAGAAGACTCTTAAGAGTCCCTTGGACTGCAAGGAGATCCAACCAGTCCATCCTAAAGGAGATCAGTCCTGAATATTCATTGGAAGGACTGATGGCTGAAGCTGAACCTCCAATACTTTAGCCACCTGATGCAAAGAACCAACTCATTGGAAAAGACCCTGATGCTGAGAACCATTGAAGGCAGGAGAAGGGGACAACAGAGGATGAGATGGTTGGATGGCATGACCAACGCAATGGATATGAGTTTGAGTAAACTCCAGGAGTTGGTGATAGACAGGGAGGCCTGGCATGCTGCAGTCCATGGGGTCGCAAAGAGTGAGACATGACTGAGCGACTGAAATGACTAAGTTAAGCATCTTAATACTAATAGAAGAATGTGATCCTCAGCAGTGTCATAGGCATAGTAAACCAGCGTTAAACACAAATGATCAATGCACTCATTCAATGCCTATTTACTGGGCACTTGCCCATGGGCTCTATTGAAATAACTTTCCCCCTAGGAAAATGCTTTTTGCTGTTGGTAAGCTTGTTCACCACCTGCATTTGTTATAACACACAGGCATCCTTCTCTTCCAACAGTAAACTTTAAATATCAAGTTCTTATAATGGAAAGAGGTTCACAGTGGAGAAAGCCCAGGTTTGGAGAGCTGGACAGTGTCCTCCAACCCTCAGTCCACACCTCCTCTTGGGCTGGAGAAGACCTCACTGACCTCACTGAACAGACAGCGAGTGGAAAATGAGAGATGCTCCACACATACAAAATAACTAGCAAATGAATTTGTCTTTGAATTGCTTCATAATCTATTATTAACCAGGTTCCCCCCGCCCCGCAATGTAAAAATATAGTTTGTTTCTATCATGCCTATAGCCATAGAACATGGGAACATATTTCTTCTATCCATGCAAGCAGTTAGTAACCAGACCTAACTATTCTGTTTTGGACCAAAGACCGAGGAAATACTTACACAAAAGGGGCAGAGTCTGGATTTTATTGTGTCATTCACACTGCTGTGTTTATTATTTTTCTTTACCTATAATACCTTGAGATGTTACTACCTAAGTTAATTTTTGATCTCCATTAAATACATGGAAAATCTGGTAGGAAATGTATTATTTGCTGAATGGAATGAGAAAACTGCCTACAAACAGACAATCACACAACGGTTTCTCTTTATAGTCACAGAGGGATTAGTAGATTAGTTAGTCTCTTCTCTTTGTAACTTAATTGTCTCAAAATTTGACCTGAGTAGAATCACTGGCTTATGTTCTACACTGTAGTAATATTTTCTCTCATCAGGAAAAAGGTACAAAACAAGCAAAGTAAAATAGAGCCTTACACAAAGTGGCCTGTAGTTCTGACAGGTCCTATCAATCTTGCTCAATTGGAGAAAGGCAACCCACGGTTTTAAAATCTAGCTCACTCTAATGCCCGGTTCTAGCCATCAAGCTGTACATAA